CTATAAAGAATGCTCAGACAAAAATTTAACTTGTAAGATTCTTGAAAAACTTGATTTGACTAATTTATTTCTTATTTTAAGAATCTTACCAAGTAAAACTTTCTTACTCCACTGGCAGAACTTTTTGACTTAATTTGAGTCAAATTGTCAGGCTAATAAGACAAATTCTGAAAATAAGATGATTATTCTTACACAATCAGTTCTTGTTTAGTAAATCAGTCTCAAAACAAGATCAAAAAGACTTTTTGGCTGATATAAGATTTTAAAACTTGGTTAGGTGGACAGTTTTTGCAGTGTAACAAAAGCTTAAAATGCCATTTTTGTTTGTTAATAATAAAAACAGCTATAATTCATGTTGAAAAATCGAATGAAATTTTTTGCTTGCTTTCTCCTGACAGTTGACAAACTCAGCATCACAATATAGAATCAAGTAAAAAATGTGCATTAGAATAAGTGTTAACTAAGTGTGCCAGGCAGAACCAAAGACTAAAATGTAAGCCTCAAGCAAACGGCAGGTGTGTGAAATCTTTACGTCGTGAGCAGCAGAGGACTCTGATGGTCCACAGGTGAAGGTTTCTGTGTCCGCACTGTTGAAGACTTTGATCTTAAATATAATTGAAATCTATGGCAGCTTGGGTGGGGACTTCCTGTTCTCTATAAACCCATTAAAAAGGAAGACAAAATACTTTTTTGACACATGATTTGTACAAATGCTAAAAAGTGTGGGAGGAAGAATTGTTTGTTGAAGTATGGACAGTTTAGACCAGGGGTGCCCAAACATTTTCCCTGAAAGGGCCAAAATTAAAATCAATCTGAGGGTGGTGGGCCAAATGCAATAATATAAAACACAAAATGCAAATATTTCAAGTAAAGTTGTATTTTTTTATGATTGAGCTAGCAGCCAGTGTGGTTGCCCACATTTTCTTTGTTTGTTTATTTATTTGTTTGTTTGTTTGTTTGTTTGTTTGTTTTTTCATGGACATGGAGAAAATTCAACGTATGCTCGGGCAGAAAAGGCTCATGGGACTTCTCATAATTTAAAATTTGAATATATGTGGTTTTATAAGGTGTGCAAATCTAGAAATGGACTCATAAATATCTCTTGAAGTTACTTGTATTTTAAGTTTAATCTTAACAAAATTCAAAGATAAAGTGAGCACCATAAGTTAAGACTATCAGACTACAGCTCCTTGTACATATAGTTGGACCAATGTTTGAAAAGACTAAGTGCAAATAAAGTATTTCTACATAAGACAGACGATTACAACCTGGTTACCAGGATAACTGCTGGTGGGCCAAATCAAATGGCTTGGCGGGCCAAACTTGGCCCGCAGGCCCCACTTTGGGCACCTCTGGTTTAAACAGTTCAAATGTCTGAATGGAGATTCTTTTTTTCCAAAGACAATTTTTAATACATATTTTAAATGCACTCATTCTGAAACCCTCATTTTGAATATTATTTGTCACTGTGGAGCATGTCAGACCTTGATTTTCTCAAACCATCATTATTTCCTTTTGGGGAAAAATATGATTTTGATTCTTTTTTATGCATTTTAAATCCATCTTGTATGATGTAACTCTACCAAATATTTATAGCACATTATCTGATCAAGCTTCTGCGTTTGATGTTTTTTTATTTTATTTTATTTTTGTCAAAGCAGGATGCAAAAAAAAAAACAAATTGCGGACAGATTTCTAATCGTTTCACGTCCATGTTTATGCACTGTCACCATTAACAGTAACATAACTTGTAAATATGATTAATTTAGATTTTAAATGGAACATCCATA